TGAAAACAAAGAAGAACAAACACATGAAAAGATCTGCCAAGTTTCCGTAGGTGAAACCAGGATCACTCCAAGCAACAGGAACGGCCATCTGGGCAGTCGCCCGGCAGCTTTGCGCTGCATTGTGAACTGCGAAGCAAAACCCTTGCAAACTTTATCTACAAACCATTGAAGCAAGCCCAACGCCTACCGGGCCTACCGTATACTACCCAAATTGAACACAAATACAACAGTTGTTGGGTGTCTTTTGGAAAGGATTCAACAGATTCAACAGCCTTGTACATAGGAAAACCTAACGAGGTCGAGATCACGTCAAGAGACCCACACCATCTGGATGCCACAAAGGCAACTTACGCGCAGGCAACACTTGTGAAACAGTTTGGGTTTGAGCCACTTGGGCGGACAGTGAACGTGTTCAAGTTTTGTCCGACACCCAAACCACTTGAGCACACGTCTTCTTAATGTGGCCATCTTTTAGCTGAATCTGAATGCAGAAGTTCTGTGTGACTGTTGATTAGCCAAGCTGCGACTAACGGCGACTAACGCTGTGACTGTGTTACCGCAACTTCGGCAGTGCTACTTCTGATTGACTTCTGCAGCTTGGCAAATCCCTTCGTGCCAGAAGGGTCAAAGATGGTCAAAGATCGGGCCTGAAACATTCACACTCAGTGCTCTGTTCCAGCACCGGTGTGGTCGCCAATTCCCTTGCCTGCTTTGTCACGAGCACACTGGACTATGGCACATCGGGCATCAAACGGGAACATGCTTTAGTGAAATGCTTCTCTAGTCTTGCGCAGTGCGAAGGGGTCACAATCGGTGTGACTTGCAAGGGAACTGCATGAAACACGAGCAAATATACGTAGGCATGCCATGTGGAGCATTGACCTCAAGAGATATAAACTTCCGACCTGCGGGTTCGCACTTAACGGGATACGCCGGATACGCAAACAAAAATCCCGCTTGGTGTCATCCTGCACAGCCGGGCATTGAGTTGCAGGCGCAGTAGTTTTTGGTTCACTGCTGCCTATGGCTGACTCACGTGAGACTCACGTGCCCACCTTGCACCGTGAAATCTGAATGCAAGGTGGCCTGCAAGTTCCAAAAGACAAGCGGCCGATGATGCACAAACCGTTGGTCCGAATTGGAAGCTTGAATTCTCACATCAACTCTGAACTTGCCGAGCACACTCAAGAATGTACAGCAGACAGCCAACCACATGATATATGATAATGTATGGTGTCATGAACCTTGAACCGAAGTGCGAAACACAACTGCTCAAAGGGTTCAGAGCATTTGATTCAAGCTAGGCTGGGCACCTAAGGAAGATTCGGTCGCTTCATCTGCCGGTGTTGTGGGCAAGAGGTTAAGGAGGTCAATGTCTTGGAAAAACGGAGAGCTTTGCGCACATTTTGATGGCCGCAACTGAACTTCACAAACACACACCGGCATATGCCCCAACTAGCACTGCAAACGGAATTTCTCATATTTTCTCCACGACATGTGATGTGAGATTGAAAAGACCTTCAATGAGCACCTTCAAGAATGCAATTTCTTTGTGAGGAAACGATTGGTCAACATCTCGAAACAAAACCACAATCCACTCGTGGCGAAGGCCACAAAGCCTCTTGTGTCAAGACGGCAATGCCTAGGAGAGCTGTGCAGCCTGGATTTCAAGACCATTTGTTGCAGAAAACAGGGTGGGGTTCCCGAATCCAAATGCACACGTGTGCAAACACAAACAGTCCAACGTTGCCCAACACTCTTACAGTACTTGCTTCACGTTCTTCAGGAAACATCAAAAGGACACTTGCCCCGCAATCTTGTAAGACATTCTTGCGGGACACTCTTGTCGCACACTCTTGTTGGACACTCTTGTGGAACGCTCTTGTCGGGCACTGTCGTAAGACACTCTTATCACGCACTTTTGTTGAACGTTTTGTAAAGCGCTATTGTAGGACACTCATGTGGGACATTGTCCAGTAGGACACTGTGGGACACATTAGTAGGGCACTCGTGGCACACTTTCGTGTGGGACACTCATTGTGGGGTACTCTTGTAGGGCACTCTGACGGGGCACTCTTGTGGGGCTCTCCACTGGTACTGGGGCGCCCATGGGCATGGTCATGCTGGACACGCAGTCGAGTCCGTCTAACCGTCTAACGGTCGGTTCGGGACAAACGACTACGGTAATTTTTGGAACGCCCCCGGCAAGGCATTAAAGAAGCTAAAGAAAAACGTCCACTCAGCCAGGATAGGGACGCTGGGACAGTGGTGGCGTTTTTTTAATCAAATTTTGTGGCCCGCAACAAATCCGAAAGGTTGCAGATAGTGCTGATCTCACACCCCGCTGCACCAGCGCAGCAAAATCAGCCTTCGCACTTGAGCATGTTAGGTATCAACGCTATTTCACATGAACCTGACACTTTGCGCTTCCATCCAACACCTCCAAAAGCTTCCCCCAACGGAAGGGCCATTTCGACCGCATGCAACAGTGCCACGCGGACAAGGCTGAAGCCCTTGCCCCCAAAACACCCTTTTCCTAACGCGAGTACTGCGTCGGTCGACTTTCGGCGCAGCATGACACGCAAACAGGCGCCACCAAACTCTCCATGGAAATCAGGTTGGATATAATCCCGGCTTTGCGCCAAACCAACCCTGCGAAGCTCCCTCAGCTTTGCTCGTAATCGACATTTTCCGCCTCACAAACCCAAACTGAAAACGAAGGCGCAGAAGGCTTACAGTATCCCGGCCTACCAGTCCAACAGTCCAAGACGTGCGCCCGGCCCGTGGGGGCATCTCCGGCGTAGTCCACGTTGAAGCGTCAGCGTCAGCTCACGAAAAAACCATTCGCCCAACTAAAAAGATCCAAAAGGTAGTAGGCTTGATCCCCATTGACCTATCTATGCAATGGTCAAAAAAGACCGTGCTGACTGCCTGGGGCTCTGCTAGCTTGCAGATCATGCGGGGTCTCGAAGTCGCTGGGCAAGGTGTCCCTAGCCGTGTTTAGGGGGTGCGATGAAAAAAGCACCCGCCGTAGAAAGCACCATCAAGGCCACCTCAACTGCTGTCTGGGGTAGGCCCGTGCTCACACGGACTTGTTGATGCTGCTCTCGTGACAGCAGCTCAGTCACCAAGGAGGCTTTTTGTCGTAGGGGCTCTCCTAGCCAGCTTGCAGCTGACCAGGTTTCGCAAGGGCCATCCCCCCACACCGTAGGGTCACCGCGGGACCGGTCACGTTGCTGCGATTCATCCATGTCACCTGCAGGTGATTCTTCTTAAATATAAAGACAAGGTACTAGCAATGGTCTCCGGAAATCATTACCTCCGTCACCTTGCGTCTGTTGCATCACCAAGCCACCAAAAAGCACCTTCTTGGCAATCCAGAAGCACCAGCAGGAAAACGTGGTTTACATCACTTTCTCCCCTTCTCCCCCCACCCCCCCCTAATTACGAACTTCGTTCGCAGCACTAACTTCAGCCTAGCCTATCGGCTGGCTTTCGTAATGACCCCTCACGACTGGTAATGCACACAAACTAGCACCTGTTAATAAGCATCCAGCCTGCACAACTTCACCTTTCGTGCCAGTGAGACCTGCAAGCCTGTGCCAAACATTGGAGCAAAGAGTTCTTTTATGAAAAAACACGTCTTTTCTTATAGACCATAGACTCCACAAACCTCAGCTTTCAAGAAATCAGCTGACTATGGTAAGCATCTCTCCATCTGGCACTCAGCTGTCAGTTCAATGTGCAGGCGTACTGTACACAAAGCAAGAGTTTGATGGTCTGCCAGGTCAAGCCCCCCTGATCTCTCTTTCTGATCCAAAAACATCAAGAAACTCGTTCTGAACGGAGTTGCACATAGTTGCATTTGAACATGGGATTGTGAACTTCGATGAACTGAACCCTCAAAATTTGGATATCAAAAAGGTCCCGGGCCCCGGGTTCCCCCCCTTTTAACAGGGCTATGAAAAAAGAGCGCTGGAAAGGGCGTTGTAGCGATCTCCACAGGCACATGCACATATGTATATATATATATATCATACTTGTATCTCACGTGTTCTGGCAGTCTGGAAGGAACAATGTCTCTGTTGAATGTCTCCATGTAAATGTAATGGAGATTACTTACGAACTTGTTGAGGTTGTAGGTTGAGGTTGTAGCGGTGTTTGAGTTCTGTCACATGTTCAAAGGCACAAGTGTCACAAGTGAACCTAAACACTGTCACAGTTGTGACTCTGGATCAGAATATCGGCATGTGTCAGGTAAGGGCCTGGCACCCCGGCACAACAACTCTCCAAGCTGTGTGCGCCTTCCTAAGCAAAGCACAAGTTCGCTGCTTTATTCTAGAATTCGCTTGGTGACAACATGTGACAACTCTGATCTTTGTTGGTCTTGGGTCTCCGTCAACACGCGCAACCACAATAAACTATAAGGCTATGCTATAAGGTATGATGAGGCATAAGGCAGCTGCTGACCGTGTCAGAACTTGTCAAACATTGAACACAAACACCTTGTGGAGTTGCAGCAAAACTTGGCTTTCGCCCATGAGGGAAGCTTCCAAGCTTCGGTTGCAAGCCCTGTTTGTGTTTGCCCACAGAGCAACAAATACGAACGCAAGATGCTCGTGATGCCAGGACAATTCAAAATGCTTCTCGGTCCAAAATCTCATAGAACCAAGGTGGACTTTCCAGGACGACCGTCGAAGAATAGAGAAAACGGCAACATCATTCGAGTTTGAAACATTTGGTTCTGAAAAAGGATAAGAACAGTGGCTTGGTCTGGACATGTGAAAACATCATTCCACTACTCATCACTGCTCAACTGAATAAGCGGTCCGCCACAAGCATTACTCAAGGGGCAACAAATATGTGATCCCCTGCGGTCCCCAAATATGTGCAACTTGGAACTTTAAAAGGACACGAACTAAAAACACACTTGACATCCAAACACACATAATATAGCTAATATTTGCTATATGGATTTGCATTGTCCTTGTGTTTGTGGGCTAAAATGGATGGTTCGCCTTCGCCTTCCCTATCTTCTGGTGCGTGGCACCGATCGTTCTGCAGTCCCCATGGTCCTCACAGACTGCGGAAGGCTACCTTCAGGGTCAAACGTGCAAAGAAAGTAAGAATCATCTATGGATTGTATGATATTCAATGTATATATATATATTATATATTTGAAAGGAATGTTCAAAGGTCTAAAGAGAAAGACAACGGATGCACAAAATTTGATCAGTCATGCTTAGTTTTCGTTCAATCAAGAACTTCTCTTCTGCACTTCTCTCCGTTCCGTTCACTTTGTTCACTTTGGTTCTCATCTTGACCAGATCTTGTGTGAGTGTTCCAAATGCACCCTTAGTAGCTCTCCATGTAAACACAAAACCCCCGCTGCGCCTTTTCTGCTTGATTCTTCGGATTTGGCCGTGAGCTTTGGTTACTTTCAGTGCGCTTGCGAACCTTACGAGAACGTTCTTAATGCGCCAGGTATTCTCGCAACATTTCCAGAGACATAGGTGCTTTGACTTGCTACATCAAACTCTGAGCTGCGGTGGTGGCAGTCAGCATTGCATCCAAAGGGCCCGTGGAGGACGAACAGACTTCGTCGGTGCCGGAAAGACCACACGCATACCATCTTTGAAGATCAGGGGCTTGCACTCGTCCCCAACCTCCCAATGCTCAAATTGTCCATTTGTCGCATATACTCATGCACCTGTCAAACACGTGAAATCCATGGTTCAAATTGCACGCTCGGCTCCATGCGTCTGGATGCATGACCTGACGGGTTTTGGCAGCTAAAGGCGAATGGCAAGCGCAGCATGCCATGTCTCGGTGCATCTTTGGCCCACGTGAACCAACCAAACCTGAGAAAATAGACATCTGCCGTCCACCGGGCAATCGTCACCTACCCTAGGATTGGGCTGGTTTGACCATTTTGTCCGCCACCCGAAGTTCGTTTGTTGGGTGTTGCGGCTCTGCTTCTGACCCACAAAAAACCTGGGGCCTGGGGTATCACTTGGCCCCACCTGCCCGCAGGAAAAACACAAACCGTTTTGCTCAAATGAAACTTGGGGTCCTCACTGTTTCCATTTCTTCTAATACAAATGTTGCACTGTTGGTTGGTGCAAAACTCTATTGAATCTGGTGCTAAGCCAAAGCGGTGGAACTCGGTGCAAATCTGGCGAACAGAATTTGCCAAATGCGGCACCCATGTTCGCAGAATCTTGTGCTTCTGGCTGTTAAACTTTGAAATTGGGTGCTAACAACCTTCGTCAAATCTAGTGCTGCATTTTGCCGGCATAAAAAGGAGCTGCGCACATCTTTTGATTTTGGGAGTGGATGGACATGAGGAATGGATGAAATGAAGCACTGGTGGATGCATGGTAGCGGACATGAGCCTTGAGACTGCAAACCACCCCTGTAAAACCTAAATGAATGTTCACCAATGAAGTAAAGCAGTGGCAATTTCCATTAAGTAGCAAATCCATTGTTGGTCTGTTACTGAGCAGGGGGCATCAAGGTATTACATCTGTACATCCACTTTGCCGCGCCACCACCACCCCGTGCTACACCTGCATTGCAAAACGGGTGAGTGTGCATCCGAAGAGCAAAGTCTGAGTTCGCTCGACGCCGGGGGTTTTCCCAATTTGTTCAGAGCACATGGGAGCACGTGTATGAAAGCACACAGACGCACGCGCACAAACACACACTTGGGAAATGCGTATGGAACTGAATGCCTCCTGCCACACGCCCACCTAGGTATGACCGCCTGAGGGCTCAGGTAAGTTGCTCCAAAGACCACGAGTTCGAACCGCGGAATCGCGACAGAGTGACGACGGGTCGTGCAAGTCTGCAGAGTGCGAAGCCGGTGCAAGGACTGGTAGTCTTGTTCTAATGAAAGCAGGGACCAACAGCGTGAGACCCACTAGCTGCACTCAAATGCCCAGGTGCGGTCAACAGCAGGTACGTTTACACAAGCACTGCATGAGCGTCTTCGTTTGCTCTCGTCTGATGCAGGCTTCGAGAGCCCCTTGCTGAAAAATCACAATAAACTCTATGATTCTAAGGGTTTCACACACACACACTGACTGCTGCATGCTGCATGCCCCGACGAAACCTTGGTGAAAAAAAGTTCCTAAGCAAAACATGCACCCGTGTCCAAACATACTGAAATTCCAGATTCCAAGCTCCAAGATTCCAAGAGTCCCACTTCCAACGTTCAACGCGCACACACGCGGGGAGACAAGTGAAAGGAAAACATTATGAGAACGCAAACACTTTGAAGACCCACCAAACTCTGCACCTTCACGAGGCGCATCGACGTCGACAAAGCACAGCCACAGCGCATGCCACAGACTCTGAAATCAAAAAACACGATTCGTTGACCGTGCCACGAAAACGAAAACGCCCGCCATCACCGCCCACTCCAAAGTACTGTGCGCTTTGCCATCGAAATCTTAACTGAAATGCCTCCGATCTCCTGCACCCACGAAAAGTTGAGACCTCCTACTGTGGCCGCAATAAAAGCGAGACACAGGCCCACTTGGACACACTTTGCGCGAGACTGTGCATTTCCAAAGCTGTAAGACAGGCTGTAAGAACCTTGTTATGTAGCGGCAATAACTGGCAACGGGCTGCTACAACCTTCCAAAAGCTCCTCCAAAAGTATTTCAGCGCTTGTTTTTTTCATGTTCGGCCTCTTGCCACTGCAGGGCGGCGTCATGCCGGTTCACTGCTCCCGTCGGATTGGATGGAGGATTAGGAATCGTTGAAAGAATAGGCCATGGAAACTGCAGCTTTTTTCAACACGTTAGTCGTGTGGGGAGAAAAAGAGATGAAAAGAGCTCGAAACATTAATACAGTTAAGCGGCGGGGCTGTTGCGGTGGCGATCGATGTGTGCTTCCAATCCTTTCACGCAAACAAGGTCAAGTCAAATCTTTCGCCAAGGACCTGAAATAGGATTTTGTGGTGCGTTTTTGAACGCGCGCTCCGTACACGTCCAAATCATCAAAAGTCTAAAAATCTCAACAAACGAAAGTATACCACGGTATACTCGGTCCTCGGATACAAAAATAGCAACTGGCCTCCAACCTCCGACCTACTACCAACCTACTAGCGATGGCCTCCAACCCAATGGCGATGGCCCCCACCACAGCAGCGATGGCTCGAACCTACTTGCAATGGTCTCCAACAGAATAGCCCTGGCCTCCAACCTACTAGGAATGGCCTCCAACCTAATAGCGAGGGCCTCCACTAGTAGCGTTGGCCTCAAACCTGATAGCGATGGCCTCCAGCCTAATAGCGATGGCCTCCAACCAAATCGCAATGATGGCCTTCAACCTAATAACGATGGATTCCAACCGTATAGGGATGGCCTCCAAGCTAATGCCACTGGTAATAGGGATGGCCTCCAGCTTAATAGCGATGGCCTCTAACCAAATATATGGCCTCCAACCTAAGCGATGGCCCCTAACCAAATAGTGATGGCCTCCAACGGGCTTCATACGCTTCCCTTTGCGCCCAACAAGACTCAACAAATGAAACCCAAACTGCAAACCAAATCGTTCTTTGGAAACTCTGCTCACAACAGCCAAGTGTTGCTTAGTGTAAAGCTGCTTCTGTGTAAAGAGAGCTGGCGTGTAGTGTTGATTTAATCATACTTCTGGCTAAAATCCAGAACCAACTGCAAACGCAGCAAGAAATATGTTGTCATTTACATGTCCAACGCTCCTGTTCTTGTTCCTGATCTCATGTTTTATCTCGATTCAATCACTGCTTTCCATGTGTAAATCAAAATAGAGCTTAAGGCATCAAAGATCTAGCTCTTTTGAACATAATATCTCAATTTTTAGAGTGGCCTCCAACCCAATAGCGATGGCCTCAAACCTAATAGCGATGGCCTCCAACCTAATAGAGAAGGCCTCCAACCTAATAGCGATGGCCTCCAACCTAAGAGCGATGGCCTCCAACCTAATAAGAGCGATGACCTCCAATCTAATAGCGATGGCCCTCCGACCTAAGAGCGATGGCCTCCAACCTAAGAGCGGTGGCCTCCAACCTAAGAGCGATGGCCTCCAACCTAAGAGCGATGGCCTCCAACCTAAGAGCGATGGCCTCCAACCTAATAAGAGCGATGGCCTCCAACCTAAGAGCGATGGCCTCCAACCTAAGAGCGATGGCCTCCAACCTAATAGCGATGACCTCCAATCTAATAGCGATGACCTCCAATCTAATAGCGATGGCCTCCAACCTGAGAGCGATGGCCTCCAACCTAAGAGCGATGGCCTCCAACCTAATAGAATATCAAAATCACACTCGGACTTCGCGCTCCTTGATGTGGGCCACTCCAGCTGATGTAACACACCTGCAGGGTCTCGCAACATGTTGTTTCAGGTGTATTGTTGCGCTCCATTATCGAATCCAGATTGACATGCTTGGCTTTCGCACATATTCTGTTGGAGAGCACTCTGGGACCACATGGCATGCCTCTAAGCCCTCCCAACTTTTGCCTTCCGACTTGGCAAACTCCAGTTGCTGAAGCCATCAAACGCCCTCCAAAAGGCAGGCACGACACCTGCCAGAAGAGCAAGTTATCGCAACATGGCCCAAGCAGATTGGTGGTTCCTTTGCCTCAAAAGCAGTTGAGCCGCAATTTCTAGAAATGATCAGAATGAGCCTTGCCTGGATCCACCAGATTGACAAAAGCATAACCCAAGCAAGCTTGGGTCTGGAAGTCAATGGGCAAGTACAAGAAATCCTCAGTATGCGAACGCCTAGCGATATAGTAAAGCCACAAGTCGCTGAAGTTGCGCTGCACCTCCCGCCCGAGGTAAACACAAAGTGGCCAAAGCCCTCAACAGTGAAAAAGACACATAAACTACCTTTGGACGTAAAGTGGTTCAATGATAACCTGGAAAGACGATATAGGGCCTTACTAGTAGTAACAAGGAAGCTACTAGGAACAAGTGCATCGCTTCTAGTAACAAGGGCCTTACTAGTAGTAATCAACAAAGTGCCATTTTTCTTATTCCCACGCCTCAATCGCTTGGGCGTTTTGCGTCGGCGTTTCCGATGCTTGTGGCATTTATCACAAATCACCTAGCAATGCTTGCTCAGGTCACCTAGGGCCTAGCGTTCGCTTTGCGGGATCGGTGAAAAACGCCGGATTTAGAACATCACATCACGGCGAACTTGTTACTAGAAGCGATGCACTTGTTCCTAATTGCGTTCTTGCTCCTAGTAGTAAGGCACTTGTTTCTACTAGCTTCTTGCTACTACTAGTAAGGCACTTAGTTACTAGTAGCGATGCACTTTGCTCCTAGTAGCTTCCTTGTTCCTAGTAGTAATGCACTTGCTCCTAGTAGCGAACATTGTTTCTAAAGTGTGGTATGCCCCCTGGTACCGATTTGGGGACATGAAGCGCTTTGCATCACCTTTGCACAACCAGAGGTGAAGGTACCAAACATGCATTCACATCACTGAGCCAAAACAAAAAAAATCACAAACCAGGGCTCGGTTCTTTTTGATTTGATGGATCAGCCCTCTGCTTGCCCTATGCTTTCACCAACGCCAACGCTTGTGGTACCCTGACACTACTCTCAAACACAAACTGAGATAATTCCCCAAGATAAAAAGTCTTGGGGTTGTACGGATCCACGGCCCCCCGGCGGTGTCTCGGTGTCTCGGTTTAGGTGGTGTGCTGGTTATGTCTTTGTGGTGTGTGTGTTTGTGTCTTGTTTTGCTGATTTGGTGGTGTATTGGTTCTATTTTGGCGGTGGTTTGTGGATGTTTTGGTGGTCTCTCACTTACATAGTAGTTGCGTCTCGGACTCATTGTTTTTTTTCCGTATATGGACTGTGCGCTTGCATGTTCATAGACCTGGTGCACATGGGGTTCTGGTACTTAAGAGTTATATTGCGCGTGAGTGTAAAAGCTATGCGTCGATATGTAACATATTATTTTTGCTTGAGAAGGGTTTCCTCGAATTGTTGGTATAAAACCTGAGCTGGCAAGTAAATGAGTGTTTTGCTTATGTCGATATGTCCTTTTGCATTAGCATTCGGATAAACTACGCGCTTGCGTGTCCAAACGCGTGTCGTCTGTGGCGCAAGTGATTGAATTCTGTTCCCTTTGCGAATTGCATTCATTACACCTGTCGTATATAGATAATGCCTCTGTATTTTCTTTGTGTTTTCCTTTGGTGGTGGTATATTGTTGTCATATGATTGCGTTGATACCTTGTGATATCTTTGTCGGTGTGGAGATTGTGCAGGCCCATGTCCAACCACCTATTGCGCTTATATAGTGCGATTTTTTATGTATGTGTCTGCTGGGGCTTGATATCTGGCGAGTCTGTCTTCGGTTGTACAAATGGTTTGCATATTGAACATAAACTGCCATCGGCATACATGGGCTCAATGGAACCATTCTGCTTGGATATGGTTTGTTTTTGTGTAACTGTGTGTCTAAATTCCGTGATTGTACTTCAACATATGTTGGTGTTGGTTGAATTGTTCCACAATGTAAGAACTGCTTGTTTGACACTGCGTTTCCTGTATCGTTCGTGTATAAGTCTAAGTCATGCGTTGGCACATATTCATACATCTTACATCCACTGCTCAGACATATTTGTCTGCTTACTGTTGAAAAAAACATCCTGTTTGCTGGTTAGTATTCGCTTGGTTATGCTCCTGTAAAAAGAGGCAGTGTTTGTTTGTAAGGTTACAAGTTTTTTGGAAGGCAAGATGCCCGATTTTAGACAGGGTGTTCGCAGAAGGATTTTTCGTGCATAATTTATGCGTTTGTCCTTGAGTGCATCTTGTCTCTGGTTTGGTGAGAATATTCTGTCGTCATCAACTCCTGGGAATGCTTTGATATTGGACTGGTCAGCTGAGCTAATTTTCACAGATTTAATTTTTCCTTAAATCTGGTTATGTATAAAATGTCCTTTTGCAGAAAAAAGGTTAGCATTCGATGCATTTGACGCTTCCTATATAGAATGTTTTTTTCTCTGCCTCCTTCAAAGCAACATACCTTCCTCCTGAGGGTGCATTCTTGCAGCTTGACACACACGAAGAAACAGCATATGACTATATTACTATGACTACGTCGCAATTGATGTTATTCAAATAGATTTTGCTACATTTGGCACCTTTCTGGTGGAAAACACCTTTCATTTTGTATGGAATTGAACACATTGAGAAAAGAAATCGTCCTGGAAGGAAGCAAGTATTATTCTTGAAATGAGCTTCGTTAGACCTACACTGTTGTTTGAAGGGCATGAATTTCTTTCCAATTGTATTGCAAGTTTTGAACAACGATTTTCCTTGAAGGTAAGCAGGTGCTTTTTCTTAGAAGCAGAAGCATTTGTGCATGTGTGCAATTGCTTTCAAACCGAAAAAGGCATTTACCAGGGTAACATAGGTCTTCGCTTTGGATCTCAACCGTGTCGAGGTCCTCTTGTGCCTTTCGGATCCTTTCGGTCTAGTCGAACTGACTCGGTGGGAGGTCCGGCCGGATCTGAGAAGTGTGGAGATGCTTCCCTTTAGGCCTTACTAACAAGGACGCTACTAGGGGCTCCTGGCATCGTTACTAGTAACAAGAAGCTATTAGTAACAAGTGCATCGCTTCTAGTAACAAGTGCCTTACTAGTAGTAACAAGGACGCTACTAGGGGCTCCTGGCCTTGCTACTAGGAGCAAGGACGCTACGGCTCCCCCTTACCTCGCGAAGCGAGATGTTCTCCACCGAAAGGCACGTCCACTACATCTGGCCATCTGGCTGTTCCTATCTTTTCCGATTGTGCAATGCCCATAGTCACCCATGTAATGCATCGCTTATTCCACCGATAGAACGTTAAAGAGGACCTCCAATAGTTGTAAAAGGCAAGCAAAAGAGAGTAAGATTGCTTCAAAATGGAAAGTGGGTACAAAGCCCAGTCGCGTATTGACCCCGAAAGCCAAGGCTGTCGATGAGCTCCAAAAGCATATCCTGACACATTTCCCAAAAAGCACCATGAAGCCTAAATACAATCATATGCAGCAGCAACAAGCGCATTGCGATACGACCAAATGCAAGCAGCAAACACGGGTGTAGTTGTTCGGCAAATTTCTCAACATCACCTCAGCTGTTCCACACAGCTCGAAAGCACGTGATATGTATGGCAAGATGATAACGGCAAGCCGGGCAAGGGGCTGTTGTACGGCCCTCTGGATCAGCTACAAATGGAGCAGCCTGGCTTTACTGACTTCAAAAGCTCAGTTTCTCAAGTGTTTGTCGCCTCCTTTGGCTCCAGCTTGCCAACTCCTAAACTGCGAGGATGAAAACATCAAGCTTTGAGACTTTCAAAATAGACCTTTAAGTAGAAAAAGAAGCTACTAGGAACAAGGGCATCGCTACAAGGCATTCCTACTAGGAGCAAGAAGCTACTAGTAACAAGCCATCTTGCCTTAAAATATCTTAAGCGATGAAGAAAACATCAAACTTTGAGACCACAAAATGTCTTAAGCTCGGCCAAGAATCGTCTGATGCCAGGTGCAGCCTTTGCTTTGGGTGATGTCTGGGGCTTTACTTCGCCTCGCAACTGTTTGCCAAAAGCAAGTTGAAGCTGCCGAATTGTCGAGTCGATACAAGTTCAGCAACTCAGAGCAGATGCAAAGCAAAGACAAGAAAAAGGCGCGCAATGGCCTTCCTACTAGTGGCCTCCAACCTCTTTACGGAAAAGGTTCCGTCTCGGATTTTGACTTAGCTGCTGGCCATCCAGGTCTGCCTCCTTGCAACAATCGAACAAATGTCGTCCCACTAAGGTTTCGGCATACTCAGGGCCCCATGGGCCAGCCATGGCCAGCTAGCCAAAAGGCACAAACAAGACGACACGTTCGCAACATAAAGCAATCCATCAAAAAAGACCTTCAATGTAACGCATCAAGCTTGGCAAAGCAAGACAAACCTCAAAAACATTTCCCAAAACGGTCAAGAAAAACAGGAACACAATAGACTGTGAGGCAAGCGCAACAATGCAACCAACCACTTGTCAACAATACACAAAGAGGGGAGAAAGGGTGCTCCTCCGTGTCATTCCAAGGCGCAGGCAAAGCAGAATCCTTGGTCGAGGCAGGCTCTATGCGATTCGTTCTGGATTTTGCCCTTTGTTCCGTTTACGAGAACGCATCCTCACAGGCCTAATTTCTTGGCCTGTACTCCTTACTACGAGTACACTATTTCTCTTGCATTCAGTGCCACACATGTGAAGCCATGCTAGGTGTACATGTTAACTGCAATGATCTGTTCAATTAAATGTCTCGGAATGTGGATTGTCTTGTGGAAACCGGTAGGTCTCACACTGCTGCAACTCTCATTATGGGCCTTCACACATTCAGGTACGTGCGGCATTTGAAAGCTTCAGACTTCAAGGTTCGCAAAAACTACCAGCTACCATGTTACCATCCGAAACGTCCCATCGCACGCCAGTGCGCCGCGAAACCTGAGACCACGAAGCGACTTCAGCCCCCAAGGACTGTGAGCATGTCGCATCGTCACAAGATCAACATCCAAACTGCCGTGCCAAGATATGGATACTGAGCGTTGACCGAAGCTGAAGGTTTCCTTCTTTGTGGACCAAGTTGAAGGCTTCGGATTGCGACAAAGGGAGGGAAAAAAGGCAAAGCCTTGAGATTGACTACATAGCCCTCACAAATTACTGCCAACAACAACGCTATCTACAGCCATGTTCGATCTTAATCGGTAAAAACGCACCCCTTGCAAACAATCAAGGGGGTCTTAAAGTATTATTATTGTTTGAAATTATTACTATTAGTCGTAGTAGTCGTAGTAGTGGTGGTAGTGGTGGTGCTAGTAGCAGTTGTTGTAGCAGGAGTAGTGGTAGTAGTAGTAGCAGCAGCAGCAGTAGTGGTAGGTAGTCGCAGTAGTTAAGCAAGGATCTCAAAGGCCAGCAACAGCAGAACAATGGAAAAATCGACAGATCTTTAAACAACACGGGCAAGTTTTTTTTGTATTCCTAACCATTAAACTATTCAGGGTGTGCGAATGATTTTGCGAAAACTTACTATTTCCTCCCATTTGACTTATTAGGATTCAACATTACAAATTATAGATAATTATATATCATGAAGAGGCAAATTTGTAGATCACGAGGCACGAAGCGCGAAATTTAATGCAAATCACGCTGCATACAGAATTCTCAGTCGCTCTATAAAAAGGATCAGCGGACGTTTCGTGAAGAGTCTCTTAGTGGAAGAGTCTTTCTATTAGGTTGGAGGCCATCGCTAGTAGGTTGGAGGCCATTGCTAGTAGAAACAAATAGAAAAGAAAAGGAAGAAAGGTCTAAGAATTATAGTTTGCTACTAGTAACAAAGGGCATCGCTACTAGGAGCAAGAAACTACTAGTAGCACCTGGCATTACTACAAGTACTAGTAACAAAAAGCCTCTAGTTTGAAGAGTCGCTTGGTGGACTCCCGTGTTCTTGCAGCTTTTCGGACTCGTCGTGAAGGGGATCGGTCAAAAAACAGTGCCATGTCGGGCGAGAACATGCCTTCATATTGACCTCTGTTTGCAGAATGGTTGAAATCGAGCCTTCCACGAAACATGGTGAATCTGTTTCCGATCTTTGTCTGTTCTTCTCCCATTCTTTTCGCTCACCTCTCATTCGTGTCACACTCTGACACTTGTATTCAGTGAACTCAGTTACCACGTTGGGAAGAATGGCGGTGGAACAGCATGGCGGAAAGTCCGAGAAACTTGTAGGTGTTTGAACAAAGGTTGTTTCCCTTGACTGCGGTGACGAAGCGGCTCAAGCTGCAGCGCTGCTGGGGAGGAAAAGGTTTAGGGAGGGAAACATGAAAGACCATGGAAACAAACCGATCGAATTAGACAGCTTTCTCAAAAGTTCATTGGGCAGGTACACAGAGCTGATCAGGCTCTGCTTCCCAGATGCAAGGTAGCTTTGTTAGGCGCAGTCCCTTGCATCTGCTGCGCCCCCCTGCCTGTAAGGAGTGGTGGTGGAAAACCCTTTGTCCAGGGGTGGACACACACAGGTCGCCGCATCCGGCGCTTTTTTCAAAAACCGGTGGCAAGCGTGGTGTTTGTGTCCTTTTTGGACATAGAGCCTCACGAGCTCAGCCGCAGCAGCTTCAGCGCTGGAGGGTGGAAATGTGTATTTGCGAATGGTGTGGAGTCGTGATTGGAGGCCTGATAGAGCCAAGCGCTGGCTCTCGGCGGTTGTGGAATCCCTGATTTTCCAGGGTTGGGAAGGTTGCATGTAGGTGATGGTGCGTTGTGGGAGGTCGATGTTGAAACCAAGGAGATGAAAATCCTCCACTGGTTCGAGTTCCACTGGGTCTCCAAAAAAGTTGTGGTGGATGAGGGTTTGAATGGCTGGGTGTTGGAGGAAATGTTCGTTGTGGACAATGAAGCGGTTGTCGACATATCGATAGTAAGTGAAGTGGAGGTCTGTGTGTTGAAGTAGGTTGTTGTGGATCTGGTGCCAGGAATGCTCAATGAGGGTGATGGCGACATTGCATAGGGCTGGAGAGAGCTGGGATCCAATCCCGGCCCCTCGGATTTGTTTATAAGTATTGTTGCAAGCCCGGAAAATGCATGTGTTGAGGGCAAAAGCCACGATGGTGGTAATGTCTGAAGTCTGGATGGTGCGTTGGGTAGGGTGTTTTCGATGGTGTCTGCCAATGTGTGAGTGGTGGAACGGGTTGCCGGTGGCCTGGACATCCACCGTCAGGGTGTGTGTGGATTGCTGTTGTTGCCAGTGGTGGACGAGGGAGTGAACCGCATCGATAAGTCTGTGCTGTGGAACTGAGTTGAAGAAACCGACCAGGTCATCGTTGGTGGCGTGTAGTGAGATGTCTGGTGGGGTTTGGGTGAGGTAGCTGTGAAAATGGTGCCAAAGCTGGGGAATGGACATTTGGCCGGGATGCTGAGGGTAAAGGTGTTGGAGGATGATGTCAAGGGCACGGCTGGTAATGCGAAGTAGGTTGCCACTGAGTGATTGGAAGTATGAGATGATTGTACGGCCTTTTTGCCAGTGCTTCTTCTCCTTGAGGTGGACAACGCCGTAAGGAATGTTGAAGTCTTTGCGGAAGCCCCACTTGTAGCGAGTGCGCAGAATGGGAGGAACAGTGGCTGCCAGGTGAGCGTGGATATTGGTGGCAGTGATGAAGGGAAGTGGTTCGAAAAGTTCGGGGGATTGCCATGTATTCAAGGCGCCAGTGAAATATTGGCGAGGGCAGAAAAGCCGGAGTTGTTGTAGTTCATGGTCGGCATGGTGAAGTAATGTGTGTTGGCCGAGGTGTTCTTGGAGTTGGCGAAGCAGGCGAGCCGTAAAACGGGGGTGCCGCTTGAGGTGTATGTTGTGGAGGCGCCATTGGTGCTCAAGGAATGGTTGTAAATGTTGAACGAGGGATGGCGGAAGCCCTTGTAGTTTGAGCCATTTCGTGTAGGCCGTCTGGAACATGAGACAGTATCGGGCCTTGCTTGGGTAGTAGGTGCTGTTCATATTGGCGTTGAGAAAAATGCCGAGATGTGTAGGGAGTTGGAGTTGGTCAAGTGTAAGAATGTAGTGGCCGTTGATGGTGGGGGTATCGGGATCTTGCAGGAGGGTGCGAAGATGATCGCATGCGCAGGGGAGGTCTGCTGGATCTGGCGGGGAGTGGAGGGTGTCCTCCCATGTGCGGTGGTTATGCAGGTGGGAACGTAGGGTTTTGTGTGCGGCTTCTCGCAGTCTGTGGGAGGGGAGGTGGAGGGGGATGGTGAAGTGCTTGTGCTGCTGGATGGTAGTGCGAAGCCACTGCTGGCAGTGCTTGGTGAAATCGTCGTGGGCCAGGAATGGCACTGTCAATGGAATATTTGGTTTTGGCGGTGTGAGGTTGCGGTAGAGAAGGGCTTTGTTGAGGATGTGGAGAGCTCTGCTGCGGCCGGGTTCTTCAAGGTTTGCGGCCATGCGCCGGATTGCATAGACTTCAAGGTCCGTGTGGCGGCCGCTTCGTAGCTCTTTGGCTGCTTCAAAGGAGGCTGCTGTGTGTTTGGTAAGGTTGCGGAGAAGTTGGAGGGCGTGATGCTTGGTGGAGGTGTAAAGGTGTGGTTCTCTGAGTGTGTACTGGCGTTGCCTAAGGCGTCGAAAGAGTCGTTTGTGGGTTGCTAATCTGGAGTAGAAATGGGCTCTGTGTTTGGTGAACTGCCAGCCTTGAGCTTTGAGCTTGAGGTGGTGGGAAATAAAAGGCCAGTTGAGCGTAGGCATCCAGCTTGCGATGTAGTGGTGCTCTTGGATCCAGGCTTGGTCGTATGTGTCATGGGAGGTAAGTTGAATGGTAGTGTAGTGATGGATGTTGTTGTGTGAGTGCCAATAACGTAAGGAGAGTTCTGCAGAGATGGGGATGTTGTTCTGGAGTTGCTTGAGTTTGGCACGGCGATTGTGTACGCGGTGGGGTATGCCAATGGCTGTGGAGCCAACATAGAAGTGGCCATGTTGATGGTAGCAGCGTTGGGGCTGGTCAGGATTGAAGTGGAGCTTGATGTAAACGGAATTTGAGGAGAGGAAGTTGTGGTAGTGGTATGTGTGGGGCAAGATGTGGAGCTGGCGGAGACGGTTGCGCCATTGTTGTGAGCGACGGGTGTTGGAAGGATATGCGAAAAGGAGTGTGATGTGGATAAGGCCAGTGGCAAAGATGGCCTCGGCACGGTCGATGTATTGGGTGTGGTGAATGAGCACGGAGAGTGCTCGGTGCAAGTGGAAAAGTTGGGTGAGGTTGGTGTGGCTGGGTTGCTGCTGGGCAAGGATGGCGAGTCAGCAGCCAATGGCTGCTCCAACGCTCACGAGCTGTTGTAAGCTACGAATTGGGAGCCGGTTGACCCGGTTGAGTGGTAGGCCATACCGTGTGGCTGCTTCTTTTAGCTGCTGCGTGGTGACTTTGCTCGTTTGCAGCAAACGAACGACGTCCTTGGCGGCTTCTTGGATGGTGGGGTCGAAGGTGGTGACCCAGTGTTGGATCTCTGGGTGGTTCCAGCCCTCGGGGATATCATCTTGCAGTGTTGGGTGTGGGGGTTGCAAGACATCGGTGAGGGCTGGCGGTTTTT